CAGTCTCACTCTGTCGCCCAGACTGGAGTGCAGCGGCTGCTCCCGGCCACCGCAGCCTCGACCCGCTGGGCTCCGGCGATCCTTCCGCCTCAGCCTTCCGAGTAGCCGGAATTACAGGCATGCGCTACCACGCCCGGCTGATTTTTTGATTTATTGTACAGATGAGGTCTCCCTGCCCAGGCGGGTCTCGGACCCGCGGGCTCAGGCAATCCACTCACCTCAGTCTCCCAAAGGCGCAGGATGACAGGCTGAGCCACTGAGCCTGGCTAAGTTAATACATTTCTAAGGTAATTATATTCTACTGTTATTAACAAGTTCTATCATTACTATTTGAAGTTTCTGAAATTTATTTTACTCTTGGTGTTGATCCTATATATTGCTGCTATAAACGGTTTTCAGCAGTTTTAACAGCATAGCTGTGCTTTGAAAGCTGGTAAGCATAAACTGGTACTAAACCACAACATTTTTTTCAAAATATTACCTTTACCCACGAGAATTCGCTTTGGTAATAATAATCGAGTTCTGATTTCAAGGTTTTCAGCTTTCACTGTCTCAAAGCAGTTTAACAGCTTTTTAAAACAGTATTTTTGCTTTGCTGCTCTCTTCATATATTAATTTTGGGGGGGTTAAAAATCTTTCTCACTGAAATGACATGAGGACGCATTGTTGTGTCAATAATGTGTCTCCTTATCCAGTTAGTCCCACAGCTAATTTAACAGGTGACTTTTTCATTAGCGTGCTCTTCATTTATAAAACAAAAGAACTGAGGTTGACAGAATGTGCTTGAGTGGGGCAGCAGTAGATGTAATACTCTTTTTATCTCCCTGTAATGAAAAAGGCTGATTAATCATAACATTATATTATATCTTAGAGTTCAAGTGGCTGTGGATGTCATTGAACCTAGGAGACTTCAAACAAGGGTAGTCACATCCCTAGGATACATTAAGACTTTTCAGTGAGGAGAGGAGAAGCTCATTTCAAGGAGTTAACGCCTAGAACCTCAACTACTCTACTACTGGAACCTCTACTTCCTCATGCAGACTTTCTCTACACCAGAAAGGCATGCCTCTTACACACCCCAAATCATACTATGACACACTGTTTTGGAGCACAAAGCTTCCAGTATACCAAACAAAGGCAACATTTAAAGTATTTTTGTTGGAGAAGCCGCTTTTATTGCAGACACCATAGGCCCATCGTAGGCCTTCCATGTCTTTCTCTGTCACATACATATTTCCATCAAGGGCGAGATGTGGAATTTTAAAATGGGGCATTTAGGACTACTGGCATGTTTTGAAGTCAGATGTAACATTTTTTAATGACCCTACTACCCACTCCAACTATTATCAAAAATTCTTTTCATGCAAAAGAGTTTCATGCTTACAAAGTGCATGCTAAATAAGGTAAACAATACTCAATGCAGTGGTACTTTCTTTATTCCAGTTGTCAAGCTATGGCAGGGATTTGTGCTTTATCTCTTTATCTATCTGTTTAGAGCAGGAATTCAGAACGAAGATAATTGTAACAAAATGTAAGTTAATTTATTTGAACTGAAAAAATAAGTCAGACTTTTTCTGACAAAAAGACAGTTAAATTATATGGTGGGTATTTTCCATAAATTAAATGAGCTAATGAAACATATGTATTTAAAGCACATACAGGCATACCTCGAGACGTAACAGATTTGGTTCCAGACTGTCACAATAAAACCATATCACACAAAGGCGAGTCACACAAATTTTCTGATTTCCCAGGACATATAAAAATGTTCACATGAGCCAGGCTCGGTGGCTCAGCCTGTAAACCCGCGCCTTGGGAGGCTGAGGTGAGTGGATTGCTGGAGCCCGCGGGTTCGAGACCCGCCTGGGCAGCGAGACCTCATCTCTACAATAAATCAAAAAATCAGCCGGGCGTGGTAGCGCGCGCCTGTAATTCCGGCTACTTGGAAGGCTGAGACGGAAGGATCGTCGGAGCCCAGCAGGTCGAGGCTGCGGTGACCGGGAGTGGCCACTGCACTCCAGTCTGGGCGACAGAGTGAGACTCCAACTCAAAACAAAAAAAACCCCAAACAACAATGAAGTTTGCTACAGTGATTCACTCTTCTTTTCACAAAATATTTTTTGTAGCATGTGACGCTGTTTGACAGAAGTTCTTTGTAGAAGAACTTCTTTCAAAATTGGAGTCAATCCTTCCAAACTCTGCTGGGCTTTATCAACTAAGTTTATGGGATATTCTAAATCCTTTGCTGTCATTTCAACAGTGTTCACAGCATCTTCAGCAGGGGTCAGCTCCACCTCAGACTTTCTTTGCTTATCCATAAGATGCAAGTCTTCATCCATTCAAGGTTTATCGTGAGATTGCAGCAATTTGGTCCCATCTTCAGGCTCCACTTCTAATTCTAGTTCTCTTGCTACTTTCAGCATTTCTGCATTGACCTCCACCAATGAAGTCCTGAGTCCCTCAGAGTCACCTATGAGGGTTGGAATCAACTTCTAACTCCTGCTAATGTTGATATTTTGACCTCCCACGAATCTTAGATGTTCTTAATGGCACCTAGGATGGTGAGTCCTTTCCAAAAGGTTTTCAGTTTACTTTGCCCAGCTTCATCTATGGCAGCTATAGCCTTACAAAGTGTACTTCTTAAATAATGACTTGAAAATTGAAATTACTCCTTGATCCATGGGTTGCAGAATAAATGTTGTATCAGCAAGCATGGGAACATTAGCCTCCCTGTATATCTACATCAGAGCTTATGAGTACCCAGGTCATTGTCAAGTGCAGTAATATTTTCAAAGGAATCTTTTTTCCTGAGCATTGGGTCTCAACACTGGGCTTAAAATGTTCAGTAAACCACGCTGTAAACAGGTGTGCTGTCATCCAGGCTTTGTTATTCCATTTTTATAGCACAGGCAGAGTACATTTAGCATCAATCTTAAGAGCCCTATGATTTCTGGAATGGTAAGTGAGCACTGGCTTCAACTTAAAGTTACCAGCTGCATTAACCTCCAACAAGGGAGTCAGCCTGTCCTTTGAAAGCACATAGCATCAAAGGCAGGCAACTCCTATTTCTCTCTAGCTATGAAAATCCTAGATGGCATCTTCTTCCAATAGAAGGCTGTTCCATCGATACTGAAAATCTGTTGTTTGCTGAAAACCTTCATCAATGATCTTAGCTAGATCCTCCGGATAACTTGCTGCAGCTTCTCCATCAGTACTTGTGGCTTCACCTTGTACTTTTATGTTAGGGAGAAGGCTTCTGTCCTTAAGCCTCATGAACCAATCTCTACTAGCTTCCAACTTTTCTTCCACAGCTTCCTTGTCTCTTTCAGCCTTCATATAATTGAGGAGAGTTAGGACCATGCTCTGGATTAGTCTTGGGCTTAAGAGAATGTTGTGACTGCTTTGATCTTCTACCTCAAAAACTCAGACTTGCTCTGTATCAGCAATTAGGCTGTTTTACTTTCTTGTCATTCACGTGTTCACTGGAGTAGCACTTTTAATTTCCTTCAATAACTTTTCCTTTGCACTTGTAACTTGGCTAAATGTTTGGTGCAACAGGCGTAGCGTTTGGCCTATCTTGCTTGAGACATGTCTTCCTCACTCGGCTCCTTTCTAGCTTTAGATTTAACATGAGAGACACATGTCTCTTCCTTCCACTTGAACACTCAGGGGCCATTGTAAGGTTATTAATTAGCCGAATTTCAATATTTTTGTGCCTCAGGGAAGAGGAAGGCCACAGGACAGAAAGGGTGTAGGATGGAGGGAGAACAGCCAGTCAGTGGAATAGTCAGAACACATGCATTTATCTACTAAGTTCGCCATGTTACATGGGAGTGGTTTGTGGGGCCTCAAAACAATTACAGTGTTCGTGACTAGCCTGGGCAACTTGGTGAGACCTCGTCTCTACAATAAAATAAAAAAATTAGCCGGGCGTGGCAGTATGCACCTACAGTTCTGGCTACTTGGAAGGCTGAGGCTGAAGGATTGCCTGAGCCCAGCAGGCTGACACTGGGGTGGCTGTGAGTGTGCCACTGCACTCCAGCCTGGGTGATGGAGTGAGACTCCGACTCAAAAACAAAACAAAACACAATTACAATAATAACATCAAAGATTTGTGCAAAGGTTGGAAAAATGGTGCCAATAGACTTGCTCGACATAGGGTTGTCATAAATCTTCAATCTGTAAAAAATGCAGTATCTGTGAAGTGTTATTTTAAAAAGCATAATAAAAGAAGGTATGCCTGTAATAAGATGAAAGCATTTGAAAAATATAATATCAATGGGGAATTAATATGAACAATAGTTCCATTTGCTACCCCATTCTGAGTATACCAGATGAAACAATGTAACGCTAAGTAAAAGACTAATAGGTGAAATAAGCGGTATTTTGCTAAACCTTGGTAAAGTTTTTCTTGGTATGCTACACAGAAACTGAGAAATGAAAAAACTCTAAAAACTGTGTAACAAATCTTTTTCTTTTTTTTTTTTGAGTTGGAGTCTCACTCTGTCGCCCAGATGGGAGTGCAGTGGCTGCTCCCGGTCACCGCAGCCTCGACCTGCGGGGCTCCGGCGATCCTCCCGCCTCAGCCTTCCGAGTAGCCGGAATTACAGGCATGTGCTACCACGCCCGGCTGATTTTTGATTTATTGTAGAGATGGAGATGAGGTCTCGCTGCCCAGGCAGGTCTCGGACCCGCGGGCTCAGGCAATCCGCTCACCTCTGCCTCCCAAAGGTGCGGGATGACAGGTTGGGCCACAGAGCCCGGCTACAAATCTTTTTCAAAGTAAGTAGTTGCCAAGACTTTGCTTTCCGTAAGACTAAAAGAGAAATGTGATGGAACGGGTAGCTAACAGACCACTAACCACACTTTTGGGAAATAAGTCACAATGTGATTTTTGACATATGACTAACAAGGGTTTCAAAGAATTAAACAGCATCACTTAAAAAAAAATCCTAGCCGGGCTCGGTGGCTCAG